CCCCACCCCACTCCAGGGGAAGGATACCGCAAAATCCCCATTTCCTCCCGATCAGTTGGAATTCAGGAGGCAGGGAATAGATGGGGGAGGGGCCAGTCAGAAGTGGTATTTACCAGTTCTCCAAACTACTCAAAATTTCTGCTACCAGTTCTTCAGAACTGGTCAGAACCTGCTGAATACCACCTCTTTGATATATGATATACTTATGAGGCAAACAAACTCTCAGCAAATATCAATGAAAAATGAACAAGAAACCCAGGAAATAGAGGTGAAAATAGAAAGAACAGAGAAAAGGCTAGAGCAGATAAAACAACAAATGAAACAAGAAGATAAGGAGAAGAAAGAGATAATTAAAACTTATGAAAAAGACCAGACAGGTTATAGATTAAGAGATTAAAAAATAGAACTGGATAATCAGAAAGACATTCCTGAAGTGAGAATAGAGTCACTGATAGTCACATTGAAGGATTGGCAGCGAAAGGTAGAGACAGATGAAATACTTAGATCAAATTTGAATGATGCATGGAGATACAAAATCCCAAGGGAGAACTATGGGAGACATGTCAAAAGGTCAACAAGAATTGAAATACTAAAATGGGCAAGAGATGGATAGAAATAAAATACTTCCTAATGTAAGATTTGTTCTATTAAGAATTAGAATGGAGGTAGAAACTAGAAGGGAAAATATTATTATGCATATTCATATGAAATATTTTAAAGTTAATATGAAGGTGTAAAGATTAGAATTTGAAAGATGATTTTACTACGTATATTTAAATAATATCACTATTGTTATTAGTATTGTGTATTAAAATATTGAAAAATTAAATGATGAAGGATTATATACATGGAGCAAATATTAACATGTTAATTACTTCCATTTTAATATTTATAATATAATTGTGTGAGTATTATTATTGTAACTAATATCAATATTACCACTTACTATGTATCAAAACTAACAATATTCAGATGCCACACTCTTCGTTATTCAATATGTATGTATGCATATGTGTGTGTGTATGTATGTATGCATATGTGTGTGTGTGTGTGTGTGTGTATAAAATCTCTAGCCATACATGTTTATATTGGAGGTCCAGGAGTTTGTTTAGAAATTATTTCATGTTATTTTAATCTTTCTTTTTGCCAAAAGGCGTGAAAACTCTTGTTTGTCTCACTGACAAATTGTTTTAGTCTCAGAATTCAGAACTTTAGAAATAACACCATACACTTTCCCCAAGTTTTATTCCATGATTTTATTATAGATGTTGCAGTAGTGGATATGAGTGATTTTTCCAGACAACCCTCCCTCTTCTACCACCTTGGGGTACGTGAAAGCTTTGACATGGCCAATAATGTTATACTTTACCATGATATGGATGCTGATACTGCTCAGTCACTGAAGGTAAGTTTTATTCTGTTGTTACATTAAAAGATTTAAAAATATTGGACTATAATCAATTGCAGTAAATATAGATGTGTCTTTTTAAAAATATGTTTAATTTTTTTAACATTTATTTTATAATAAAACAAAAGATAAGGTACATATAGTTATCCCTATTGAATTTTGCATTGAATATACTTGGATAATTCAATACATATCAGTAATAAATTATAAACAGTAAAACAATAAATAAAATTAATACAAAAAATTAGAGCTAAGTTATAATTATACATTATAATTCAAGTTTATTTTATATGGCAAAAAACCCCAAAACTCAGACATGGCCATAACACTATATAACATTACAGTGCAAGAATGATAAATTATGTACATATCAGACTTACTTTTTATATATAAAGTTAGGCTTTACATCAAAATTTACTTCCATTATTTAATTAGTTTTTCTCCCAAAGAAGGTATATAAAGAATATATTCCAATAAAAATCCCCTGCATTTGTTAATTTATATAGTACTAATTCAGTGAATTTGTGGGAGGTTTGGTGAAATTTGAAATGAATATCTCTGGTTGAAATTAAATTGCATTGTTGTATGCTGCCCAGCATCACTTCCTCTGAATGCGTGACGATATAAATTTGATTAATAAATAAATAAATTACAAACTGCAAAATCTGTTTCATTCTACTATGTCACTTTTCTATATTTTGGGACTTTACAGTAATACCATCATATATGGATAAAGGGTTTTATATGCCTCCTTGTGAGAAGTAACAAAATGTACATTAAAAATAACATACAGTTATGAGTAAAAACATTCCAGATTAGATGAAAAGATATAAGCGATGATAGATAAATATAATTTAAATGTTGTAATCAGATTAACAAAAAAAACACCTGATAATTTTAACTTCTGTTTTTTAAAAAAATTCCCATTTCTGAGTTATTGTATTCCTACGTTGTATTCCTACATTCTACATTCAAATAAAATTCCAGAGTTGAAGAGAATTTTTTTATAAATGAATATTGCGCTGAATAAAAGATTATTAGCTTAATTTAAGAATTACACTTCATCTTCATTTAAGCCAAATTGATATGCTACATTCTTATCCATTTCATTAAAAGGCTAGCAATACCTTTATCAAATAGTAAAATTCACATATTTAAAGATTTTCAGTCTTCAAACCAGTAGAATCATTGTTTTTTTAAAGGCAGTATTTGTTATACTTACGTAAGATTGCATGTTTTGTTTTTCAGGACATGGTATCTCAGAAAAACACAGTAAGTATACAGACTCCTATCTTTTAAAATGTACATTGGGAATACTACACAATAGGTAATTGAGAGAATTTTCAGCATGAGAATTGTAAATTCAAATATGTACTGAAGAATGGATGTTGTTCTGCTGTTTTTCGGTCCTGCTATCTTTAATAAATTAAAAGTAGCTTTGTTTAATTGAAGTTTCTTCACATTGGTCAATTCTTCCTGTGTTCAAATCTCGTTATTCCACTTAAATAATTGTTCCATAATTCCTTATGGCAAGGTGTGTGAGCTTACCTAAGTGATACATTTATATTGTATTTTTCCAGAAAAAAATATTTATAATGTAAAATAATTTAATATTTAATGTATTGGTGAGGTGTTCAGTGATTTCCAGTATTTCCACAATTTGTACATATTGATTTCATTTCAAAACAACATAATTTCTCCCTTTATTTTGTTGACAATGTCTCATCAAAGTAAAGCAGATCTTTATAATTATTTATTCCACTTCTTCAGATTCTAGTGGGGAGGGATAAAGAGGCTAAATGTTAAAAATAACTGATGCGGAGCAAAGAGAAACATTTCCATTTTCATTTCCCTATTCAGCAGTAGCTGTAGGTCCAATTCTTTGATTTGAAACTGAAAAAAAAAAATAGAAGTCAGGCAGTGTCAAATACTTGTTAAACTTCTTTAAACTTTGTTAAGGGAGTCCTCAACTTACGATACGGGGAGTCCTCAACTTACGATAACAATTGAGCCAACAATGTATGTTGCTAAGAGAGAAATTTGTTAACTGAGTTTTGCCCCATTTTACAACTTTTCTTGCCACATTTGTTAAGTGAATCATTGCAGTTCTTAAATTAGTAACATGGTTGTTAAGTGAATCTGGCTTCTCCATTGACTTTGCTTGTCAGAAGGTTGCAAAAGGTTATCACATGACCCTGGGACACTGCAACCATCATAAATATAAGTCAGTTGCCAAGCATTTGAATTTTGATCACATGACTGGGGATGGTACAATAGTTGTAAGTGTAATACAGTTATAACTCACTTTTTTCATTGCTTTTGTAACTTCAAAGTCACTAGACAAACTGTTGTAAATCAAGGATTACTTGTACATACATGCATGTGTGTGTATGTGTGTACATACATGCTACGTGTTATATATAATAGATATTAAATTTATTTGAGGGATTATAATTTGTAAGTGGCATTAGAATAAATGGTTTAAAAAAATAAATAATGTTTTTTTTTAAAAAAATCAGATACAAAAAGTGCATTAAAATAAAAGTGCATTTTTGGGAAAAGTAAATAAAACTAAAGCAAGCGATTAACTGATTAAAAAATAACTAAACTAGTGTGACTTCGTAGACAAGTAATAATGTAAATAGTTTGTGATAGATAGGTATGAGTGTAAAAATCTGAATACAAAGACTATTCAAAATGTAAGTTGGACAGGACAAAGAAATAGCAGAGATCAAGGTAAAAGCTAAATTTCATTTCAATTAATTGATGTTCAGTTTGGTACTGGGCATTTAATTACCAATATGCTTAATATTTCTCCACTTTATCATGTTAATTGTTATAGGTCTGTAGCAAAATTATGAGGGGTTCTGCAGGCTTTACCCAATTCTTATAAGTCGGATACTATAGAGCTGGTAGGACTTAAGGTTGTATTCTTACCATGCAGCCATTTTTTAAAATTTGCATTTATTTCATTTTGTTGTGGAAAATTCAACAAACAGTGATCTGGAAAAAAGTTCATAATTATTTCTAGAAATACGATTTCCCATAGTCTTTTCCTCAGCTCTGGCCATAGACATTTTCAGTAATGAACAATTGCTGGGACCTAGTGCAGCACCCATTGACATATTTTTGATGTTTGTGGGCCTGTTCATTCTGTTTGCTGCTGGCGCTGCCTGTTTACCTGTTTTTTTTTTTCAAACAAGCATTTAAAAAAGCAAGGAAAAACAACAGTAATTTAGGTATCTATTTCCTTAATATGATGAAGAAAATATATGCTCCATCCATCCATTTCAGTATTTTTTTCTAGAACTGCCTGTCTCTGGGCATCTTAGAAACATCATAGTACTAGAAAAGAATGATGGTCATCCAAAGGGAATAAGAAAATTTATTTTCTCATTTAACATCTAATATAAAAAAACCTGAAAAACACCCTACCCTAAGGCTAGGTTTTCAAAAATAATTTAAAAGCAGATGGGGTAGTAGTGAAGAAGATTCTCTTACCCAAGTACCCAAATCTAAAATAGCAGTCTTGATTCTGTACTTTTGCATGTATACTAGTGCCAGATGCTACTATCAAAGCAACAGCTGCTTGTTTTTAATCCCTTTTGGCTGTATGTATGTATGTATGTATGTATGTATGTATGTATGTATGTATGTATGTATGTATCAGAGGACTGGACTGGACCGGTAGTAATGGTAGTCCTCCTGCCAGAAGCTTCGTTAGAAGCTTTTTAAAAAAAACTCTTTTCCTGCTGGTTCAGGCAAGGGAAAAAAGCCTTTAAAAAGTAAAAGAAAGAGGGAGGGGGGAGGGAGGAAGGGAAGGGAGAAAGAAAGAGAAAGAAAGAGGGAGGTGTTAGAACAAAACTCACTTTTCAGCCGGGAGATTCAGCAAAGGAGAGAAACAATCTGAATCCCCAAACTGAGCGTGCCTGGCTGTGGAATTCTGGGAATTGAATGTTGCAAATTTTGGAGACTCCTGCTTTAAATTGAAAAGCTGCACAGAAGGAGGTTTGCAAAGTGACATTCAGCAGTTTGTTTCTGGGTCAACTGAACAACAAACTGGATAAAAGGAAGGATTCTTATATGGTGCTATGTTTTTGAAGTTTTGGGTTTGTACAATATGGGCTTTGTGTTTGGATGATTCCCTGCTTGTGTGAATGGAGCNGCTCCCTTTTCTTTCATAGCCAGCTCGTTTCCAATTGGGGGAGGGGGGAAGAAATCATTTTTTTCCGTTCCTCTCCATGGATCCCCACCCCAATTGGAAACGAGTTGGCTATGAAAGAAAAGGGAGCGCAACCCGCACAGCTTGTTCAAGGAGCAAAAGAAGGGACAGGAGAGGAGTTTGACTGTTTGAAAAGCCCTGCTTGGAACTCCTCTCCTGTTCCTTCTTTTGCTGTTTCTACATGCCGAGTGGGTCGTGCTGCTTTGTTGGCAAGGGTGCTTTGCAGCAACAGGGGCCAGGAGCGGTACCGGCATTCCTGGATGTTAATTACTTCTGGGTTCACCGACCATCCGATTCGCGTGAACTGGGGTGATCTGGGAGGAACCCACCCCTGCTTCCCGCTAGCTTGAGGTTGGAAGTGAAGCCATGACGCAAAGCTGGAGATCACTTTGGATTCCTAAAAAGGGTTCACCTTGCCAGATGTCAATTTTGGTGGCTTAAGATGAAAGCAGAAGTGGAAGACTATGTGCCACTTGTGCAGCCATGAAAATATGGCCAGGCAAGCACCCGGGAGTACTACAACAGATGGGATTACCCAACTGATCATGGGAAGAGATTGCAATGGATTTCATCATAAAGCTCACAGATAGCGGCAGGAATAAAATAATTTGGACAGTCATTGACTTATTTTCCAAGCAAGCTCACTTCATTGCTTGCTCAGGACTACCATCAGTGAAAAAACTGGTGAAGATGTTTGTCAAACACATTTACCTACATGGCGTACCCAGAAGAATCATTTCTGACTGCGGACTTCAATTCACTGCCAAGTTCTGGAGGGAGTTCCTGAGCAGCAAAATGTGCGAATGCAATGGTTGAACAATGCATCTGTTGTTAATGTGGATTACCAACAGCACAATTGGTCGGACCTGCTACCGTTCACTGAAGTGGCGTATAACAACGCTGTCCACAGCAGCACTGGATTAACTCCTTTTCAAGTTATCAGTGGCATGGTATGTCCCCATGCCTGAACTGCCCTGAGAGCCCCCTCCTCCATGTCTTTGACTGAATGGATGGACACTAAAAAAGGGGTGGAGAATACAAAAAAAGCTCTAGCAGAAGCAGCGGAAGAATACAAGAAACAGGCTGACAAGCACTACTCGCTCCAACCCCTCTTCCATGTGGGGGATAACGTTTTCTTGTCTACGAAATGTATACGGTTAAGAATTCCTAGCAAAAAATTAGGGCCAAACTTTTTAGGTCCCTTCCCAATAGTCAAAATAATTAACCCAGTTACGGTTCAGCTCAATCTGCCTAGAATTCTAGGGAAAATACACCCAGTCTTTCATTGTAGCTTGCTGAAACCTGTGACTGGGTCTAATTTAAGATCGCAGACCCAACCACCCCCTCCTCTGGTAGTAATACAGGGAGAAACTCACTGCAAAGTTTTTAAAAATTCTAGACTCTAGATTACATAGAAATCGTTTGCAATATTTAGTGCATTGGAAGGGGTAGCATTTGTCTATTTGTCTACCTGGATAAAAAGTTGGAATGCAAAAGCTGATAAGTTAGCAAAACAATTCCATGATAAATTTCCTGATAAGCCAAAGGGTCCCCCTGGGGTGGGGGAAGAGGTGGTTAGTGATGTTTATGTTAACCCCGTACAATATTCTCATTACAGTATATCCTTTTCTTCTGAGGGGAGGCAGCCTGTCAGGCCTGCCAGCCATCTTTTCTTTTCGACCTCAGGCCTGCCACACTTTCTATTATTCTACTATGCATTTTCTATTGTGGGAAAATGGGAGGGGGATTGTATGGAGTTAGATTATATGTAGCCATAACAAAATTCTTTCTAGAAAGTCAGGGTCATTCTTTGTCTCTGCACCTGATGAACTGGATGGGTGGAAGCTGCCAGCAGTGAAAGATTGGACCATGTGATGGACTTGTGGGTATGGGGACAAGATCTTGAACTTTCAACTGGGTGGGAAAACCAGAAAGCCTTCATATTCGGGTTTTCCCAGATGTGCCAACATGGTTCTCTTAATAAATTGGAACTTTGAGGAATCTTTTGCCTCGGGCTCTGATTTACTTTAGGATGCTATTTGAAATCCCG